GCTGAGGAGCTGGGTGCTCACCCTGAAGCTCTTCCCACATTCCAAGCACCTGAAGGGCTTCTCCCTGCTGGGAGGCTGCTCAGGGACCACCAGCTCGGAGCTCCGGCTCAAGCTCCGGCCGCCTTCCCGGCACAGGACGGCTCTTTCCTCCTCACAGCTCCCTGGGCTGGCTTTGCAGCCCCTCCTCCGAGGGCATCTCCGGCCCTTTTCCTCCCCGCTGCCTTCCTGCGCCGGGGAGCCCTTCAAAACGGCCTCTCCCACCAGGCTCTGCCGGGGGGATTTGTCCTCCGTGCTCTCCGTCCTCAGCTCGGGGCCTGGGGCAGGAAGGAAGAAGGACAGGCAGGGGATTTGTCTCCGGCCCAGAGGGAAGGCCAAGGACATCCCCCCCAAATTTGTCCCCCTATGCACCACAAGACAGGGCCAAAGGGGCACTGACTTCCTCCTCACCTGCCTGGGGGACCCGCAGCAACTTCCTCGCAGCCTCCTCGTCCATCCGCCCAAGCTTTGGAAAAGACAAATCCTGCTAGGAGGAAACAAGGGCTGAGCGCTTTGGCTTGGGGGTTCCTCCTGCCCAAGTCCATCTCTAGAACTCACCGGGCATCCTGAGACCATAAAAACCTCCAAAACATCACAATTCAACCCAGAAAAACCCAATCCACTGACATTCAGGAAATAAAACTACTCAGAAATAGCGAGATTGACACCTCTCCATCACAGTGCAAAAAGTTAGGGTTCAGCCAAAATATGAAGATTCATGACAAAAAATCTCTCCCAGGAGTTCCCCCTCTCTGGTCTCTCCCCTCTGGGGTTCAGAGGGTCTCCCCTGTCTGGGATGTTGGGGTCCCACTTAGGGATGCGGGGAGTGTTGGGGGTCCCAAGGGTCCCTTCTCCTCTGACTCTCACCTTTGGGGTGCCGCCTTCCCAGACATTCCCCCTCTCCAGGTTCTCCACCTTGTTGTCCTGGGGATCCCAGGGGTCCCCACTCTCCAGGCTTCCCCTTCTCCTCTCCCCCCGTTTCAGGCTCCCGGGGGTCCCGGGGCTCCTCCCTCTCCGTGCTCCCCCCTCCAGCCTGCCGGGGGTCCCCCAGCTCCGCCATTGCCCGCTCCGCCCTCCACCCTCGGCAGCTCCCAAACACAGAGATGGCACTTGTTCCTCTGCAGGGACTCCAGGACAGCAGGTGACTCCTGCTGCACGGATGGAATGGCACAGGATCCCCTGGGTCCCCAGGCTGGATCAGCACTCGGGGATATAAACTGACCTCGGGCTCAGGATGCAGCTGCGAGCACAGATTGCCCAGCAAAGTCTGCAGGGAGTCAGTCGAGCTCTGGAGAGCAGATTGTGCCCCAGGGATGGGATTGCAGAGGGGCCCTCAGATCCTCAGGATGAAGCAGGAACCAGCAAGAGACACAAAAGGCCCCCCCTGAGGATTCTGGGGGGAGTGTCCTGGAGGGAGGGGACAGTGCTGAGGTCTCCCCTGAGCCTCCTCTTCTCCAGGCTCAACAACCCCAGCTCCCTCAGCCTCTCCTCACAGCACTTGTGCTCCAGTCCCTTCCCCACCCTCCC